ATAATATTACAAGTTAAGAAAAAAGTACATTGGTGCACGAATAAAGAATAGGCTAAAGAAAATATTAACAAGTACAATTTTTTAGTTTTAGAATTAATGATAGCAAAGAATCGTTAAAAATATCAATATTTGACATATTATTAATAGATCGACAAGCACGATCAAGAAAGGCTGCGTAACCATAGTTAGTGGTGTGAAAATTCGTTTTAAAAGTTTGGGGGTTTCTGGAATAAAAAGAAGGAACGGCTAAAGATAATTTAGCAGTAAATCAGGAGCATCAATATCATTGTTCAATAATTTGTAAATAAAGGTAACATCAAATTCAACACGTCTATCAGTTAGAGATTTAAAAGTATACGGGTTAATCCCGCAACGAAATGTGCTCATTTTTATAAATTTATTTTGTACTTTATTTATTCGATTAATATGTAATTGTTGATGGGGTGACCAAATAATATGACCAAATGTATACATAATTGATAATAATATTATAATATTTTATTCTGTGATAATATCTTAGTTAGTTCACGAGCGTCTCACGCCAGCATGTCATTTTGGCATCCGGTGCGCGCGCATCACGTCGGCCTCTGGCATTGTTATCATATTATTTATTTCATGTTATCACACTAATCTAAATAGGTAGTTTAATAAGTTTAGAATTGTTTTACATGCATTCATTCATTTGTATTTTATTCACTATTTATTTGATTGACAATATCATATACACAGTAAGAAATTTAGTTATAAAAAACAATTATGTGTTAGAATTTAGGAAGAATTCAGAAACCTCATTTTTTCCAAGTGTTCCTAACCGCTCCGCAAATCGAAAATATCCCCAGACTTGCTGTGCAACACCTCCCCAAGTGGGTCACAGGGTTGAGTAAATTGCATTTTTGTTGCACCGAGCCACCAATTTGAAAAAAACATCGTACAGTGATGCGGTGCTAGCGGCACTCGTCGCTACGCTCCTCGGCGCCGTCGCTCCGCTCCGCAAATCGAAAATATCCCCCGACTTGCTGTGCAACACCTCCCCAAGTGGGTCACAGGGTTAAGAAAATTGTTTTGTGGAAAATTGTTTTGTGGAACAAAAGTAGTACTCCCCAAGTATAACATGAAATAAATAATATGATAACAATGCCAGAGGCCGACGTGATGCGCGCGCACCGGATGCCAAAATGACATGCTGGCGTGAGACGCTCGTGTTAGTTCATGGAATCATACAACCACTTACCACAGAGTAACAATAAAATAATAATATTTATAGCTTATAACATTGATTAAATATACATCATACTATTATTAGTTTTTTCCAATGGCATTATCAATGCATTTTATCACACACACACACACACACACACATGTAATTTATCAGTTAATATAACCATAGATTAAAATTCAAATTCAAAACTAAAAAAAAAATAAAAGTTAATAAAAATCAGTCACAAAGTCTAAATATAACACTAAAATAATCAACACACATTTTCATTTTGTACTGCACTATTCCGATTTCGTACTGCACTAACAGTGTCGTACTGCACACTATTTTAGGCCGTGCATTTGACCTTCATTGCGTGGAATAGGTAATTCGAGTGTGCAAATGTACTGATTTCAAAAAAATAAAACCATTTCAGTAGGTAGGTATTGCTCTTAATTATTATTGTACACATAATATTTTTATTATTGACACGAAATCAATAAATAACTATTATTGCTCCAGTGCTCCGTCTGTTGAAAACATAAACGCCAAAACGAGATAATCAAAAATAAATCGTATTGCGTACAAAAGTGCCTAAATCACAGATACCTGTGTGACAATAATTTAATAGGTATCTGAGTAGGTACGATAGAGAGTTTTATTTCGTTATAACTGAGCCCCGGCTTTCAATGCCCTGAAAAATAACGCAATTAATAATGTTGGGTACATTGTACATAAATGGTAGTATACTAGTATAATAGTACATTAGTACACATATTTTATCTATGAGTTGTAAATTATTATTTAACAAAGCTATTAAATTTTAATTAACATTAACATACCATAGTTATTGATTAAATTAAACCATTATTACCTGTAATGTTGCCTATTTTATGGATAAAAAAAATCTTGAAACATTTTTAAACCGTTTTAACGCGTTGGCAACTATGGTTATTGGGGGGGGGGGGGGGTCCATTTGTCCCCTTCCTGGATCCGCAACTGGTTGAAGTATTGAACTTCCTATATCAAAATGTCAACTAAAATCAAAGATTAAAACATAACAATATCGGTACGTAGTGTACAGGATTACTTTTTTTTTTCCAAAAAAACTAGCAACAACTGGATATCGATTCTCGGATATGAAAAAACGAATTTCATAGAGTAGGTACATACCAAAGACCAATACATAGACTTGATAGGTAAAGTTTGTTACCGTTGAAACTTGAAAACTTCTGTTACTCGGCCCGTCAAAAATAGGTCTATTTCAGCGGTTTCATTTCACGGTGGTAGCGTGGCCGAGCGGTCTAAGGCGCTGGTTTAAGGCACCAGTCTCCTCGGAGGCGTGGGTTCGAATCCCACCGCTGCCAACAACATTTTTTTATTTGTCTCATCTCGCTATTAAAATAATTGCAATCACGTGGTATAATTTCTTAGGAATATTATTATTGTTTTGTATGATTAGTGATTACCAACGCAGTTATCTCGGTCAATATTATGTTGAATATTGTATATTTTTTTACTATAAAAATCAATCCGTTCAAAATATAATATGTTTAATTAAAAATTAAATTACATAATAACCTTCTATAATACTTGGCATGTGAAATGTATAATTATTAAATATGAAAAAAATAGCAATTATTATGAATTAAGTAAATTACTAATAATTATTATTTTAAACAAATTATGTAGAAAACATTTTTGTAACTTAGATGTTTTATGGTTGCTGTTGCCTGGTGTACATGATATTATAGTTTATTTTGAATTTTTAGGTCAACTATATAAGCTGGACGGCTAAAATATCCGAAGAAAAAACATCAAAATATTGATCCTCCTTTACTATGACCTAGCCCTAATTATTACTCCTCTGCGTGAGCGTTAAGTCTGTGTTGCAAATACATATTATTATATAGAACCAGCGAACAGGAACCCTGCAGTGTACTTTTGCGCTACAGTGTTTGCAGCTTGGCACATATAATAATAATTAATACGTTATGTATATTATTATATTGTACCCGTTTTAGTATAATAGTAATAATAAAAATAGTTCGAAGAAGGATTTGGCAAAGCAGTTACCAAAAAAGGCGACATTTTTTAAAGTTCCAAAAAAATTAATGACCGTTATTGTTATATATACAATATAAATTATAGGTATTTACAATAGCCCGAGTTACGACTGAGTTATTTTAAAGTAACTGCACACATTGAAACTTGACATATATTGATTTTTAGTTATTATTCGAGGGCACTGTACCTAACTATAATAATAAAATATATTATATATTATTTTAAAAACACCCTTCAGTCTTAGAGACCAGAGACTTATCTTCAAAGCAACCGTAAACTCAATATTATTACATAGACACAAAATGCATTTACTATGGATTTCCGGCCATGGAATTTATTCTGAGCGACCAAAAAGCAGAACATGTAATAAAACAATCTGCACCAGAATGAATTCTAAAAATATTAATATAATATAATTATTTTATAGGTACTGATTTATAAATAATTAAACCAACATAATAATCTATCGGGGAACAGAGTGGTCGAGCGGGTTAAGGAGTCGGTTGCGACGCTCACCGACGCCGGTTCAAAACCTCGGCAGCGGGTGGCATTTTTCTTCGGGCAAGTCACGCTGGGTCCGAAGAGAAGTGCCACCATCCCCCACCCGGCCATGGCAGATACTTACGGGTGACCACTAAAAAATCTGCTAAACTAACAAACTCGCGTGTTTAACCTACAGTACCCTCCCCCATAGTTAAAAACCACCCAATGGCCTAATAGTTGCAGCGGGTTAACTAATAAAAAATAAAAATAAATAATCTATCGACCACAGTTATAATATTATTACAAGAAAATATGAATTTGTATTCAACATAATACAATTATTATCGCCACATCGGGCATGGTACATCTTATCTTACACACGACGGCTCTAATGTTCTAAAAAGAACTATCTACATGTCCAATAAGTGAAACCCGCAAGTAAATAAGTAAGTAATTAACAACAATATTAAACGATAATATATAAATTGATAGAATTATATCAGTGGTGGATTTGATTAGTCTTTTTGGGGCAATATTTGGAGTCCGAAAACTTAACTGTGTATTTCTGGTTACTTTCACCCATCGTGAGTATAAGCTATAATAAAGTATGAATCATGAACTAAGAATGTTTTATAATGATAATAATATGAGACCGAAATGTCTAAGGGAGGACACTGTTAATGTACAGTAGTTACATTTTTCTAAGAAACTACAAGAACTTGGAAATTAATTAGCTACCTATTTATTTACCACATGCCAAGACGACGGATATATATTAACTAAAATTTTTAAAATAAGAAGCTAGTAGTCCATAGGGCAATAGTTGAATCGTATAGAAATAAAATAAAATATAAATTATGATTTCGCGATTTCGCGATTTCCAGAAAACTGGTAAATATAGCCACGAATTACAATATTTATTACTAAATTATAATAATACCGCTTAGTTGGAAAATAGGTTATAGGAATAAATATGGGAATTAATATTATAATATTTAATAGTTATTACTTATTAGTATTTGGTATTTTGGTCACGACTTTTAAGACGTTGCTCAGTTTTTTTGAGACCATGTCTATATTTTATATTGCTATTGGCTATACTTGGATTTACTTTATATTATACTAATAAAATAATAATAAATAATAAAATAATAAAATAATAAAATAATTAGAAGCATTCGAACTATGGTTATACAGAAGAATTTTAAGAATATCATGGACTGAGAAAATTACCAATGTTGAAGTGCTGCGTAGAATGGGAAAGGAGAAAGAATTAATGATCACAGTCAAATGCAGAAAACTCCAGTACTTAGGACATATTATGCGGAACAAGAGTAGATATGAACTTCTCCAATGTATCCTACAAGGGAAAATAGATAGCAAAAGATCACCTGGAAGAAGAAGAACATCGTGGCTAGCCAACCTCAGAACATGGTTCGAAAAAAGTTCAGTAGAACTATTCCGGAGCGCAACTAATATAACTCGTATATCAATGATGATCGCCAACATCCGAAACGGATCGGCACACTAAGAAGAATAAAATAATAAATTATATATTTATATATAATATAATATTATAAGTATAAGAAATAATCATAATTCAGAATCAGTTAATGATTTTATTTTCAAGAAAATAATTATTGAATTTATATATGATTGATTGTAAAATTGTTCCTGTTAATTTGTTATTATTATTAAATAAATAACTACAGAATCGAACTCGCCACAAGAAATACATACAAAATCATATATCACATGAAGATGGTAAAAACAAAATTATTCGGGTTTCGGGTTAACCAGAATGTTTTATTCTGGTGAATTTAAACAGAATCATTCGGATGCAAGGCCCTGCGTAGAAGCATATTATTATACCAACAACTATTAAAGTTGACCACGAGCTAAACAATCTTCTATTAAATCAACTCTGGCGTATTATCTTAAAGTAGATCCTTGCGATTTGTTGATAATAATATAATCTTAGGGGCATATCCACCGCCGACCAATACTCGTTACAGGTAGCAGTTCAAATCGAATGAATACGTCATAGTGCGAAAATAACACCGGAAAAAAGATATAATAACGCACAATATAGTGAGATGGCGCGAAGACGACGATTTTGTCATCGTTTGCCGAGTGCAAAAAGGGTTATCTAAATCTCCATTTATATAATATATATATAATATAATAGGATTGATACGAGGACCCGGGGGCCGAGGGGTAGGTAATATTTTATGTTTCACGCCGTGCAGCGTGTCTGTATGCGCCGCGGCCGCCGCGCGAAGGGGTGGGTAGGCAATGGAAAAAAATATATACCACCGACACACAAACTCACACACCCACACACACACACACACACACACACGTATAATATGTGTACGCACGCCGTTATACTTACTTACTAGTCGCGGTACGGCTATTACTATATACATATTATACTACCGTCGCCGTCGCCGTCGCCGCTGTTGTTGTCGTCGTCGTCGTACCGGCACTAACGGGGTGGGACGGCGGCGATGAAGACGCTCTCGTCCGGACGGTGCGGGTGGGCCGCCGTGGCTGTGCGTGTACCCGAGATAAGCCCGTTACCATATAATAACGATTTCTTAGCGTTATATCATAATAATTCGCCGTGGAAGATTCCGAGACTCGTATAATGCCTTCGGGCCCGTAAATCTTAACTTTGGGGGGTACGCCGCCACCGATGCTGTCAGGGCGGCCGGCCGGCGGCGGGCGGGTGGTCCGCGCGTCGCGTATATATAATATCGCGGCGTATATAGGTGAGACGCGTGGGAGAGGAGGAGGGCGGGGAGGAAGAGGACGCGCGCGCGGACGACGGTGATGCGGCGCCGCGGCACGGAGGGTGGTGCCCGAGGATTAAAGATTAGTAATCTTAATGTTGGCTGCCGGTTGAATTATAGCTTTCTCGCGCGCTTTATATTATTATTATTATTATTATTATTTGCGAGCTTTCTGCTGCCATACTCACTTTATATATAACACACACACACACACACACACACACTGCAGACCGTAGCGAGAAGAAGAAGAGTTTGTACGCGTTATATGGGAGCAGCGGTGGCGGCGCATATAATAATAATATTATACAATAAAATATATATTTTATATATATTATTTTCGCCGCTGTTCCCGGTAAAGAGCTTTATTCGCTTGGCGTTCGAGTGAAATTAATTTTGTCACTTTTTAGTAACTGTTTAATATAAGGATATCGCGTACCACCTTCTACCCCTTGGCCTCCACCGGCTCTTCCTTTGCATTTATCCGCATCTTTTACACAAACCAAACTTTCGAAATCGAGCGTAGTGCACCTACTGCGTCGCAAGAGTGCTTCGTCTGCCATCAAAGTTTTTGTATACTCATATTGTTATATAACAATTGAATAATATATTTATATTATATATTATTATGATTGTACTAATATAGTTATATTTTTTTAGAACGACAAAATATTTCATTCATTAATACTTTGAAACATTTTAAGTTGATAGTTCAATGAATAATGTCCTATGAACAATCAACCATTTGACCAGCATAAGGTGGGTTTAAAGTTTACAACAAATAAAAATAAAATATTTAGCATTAGAAATAATTTATTATAGTTTAGAATACCAGAAACACCAAATGGAATAATAATATTATAGTAATTTAAACTACAATAAAAAATCTCTTCCGCAGTTATATTTTACCAAGTTATTATATAATTATTGTTTATTTTATCTAATGATTAATTAAAGCCATGCATAGTTGTTATTATTGATTAATTATTATTGTTATTGACAAGATTTAAAATATGTAATATATAATAAATGGGCTACTGACATTTTTATATTTATTATATCTATGGTTCAGATTGATACAAATTCAGTAATTTTTTTTAATTTTAGATTCTGTACAGAGGGATGAATGTATTGATTTTATAAATATGTGTTTTTTTTGTATTTTGTGCCTGAACTATATTTAAATACAGCAAATAAAATTTTATTTATTTATTTCATGATGACAAAATGCTATGGGTCTTATACTGTAAGCAACAGACGAAAACTATTTCAATAATTACGGTTTTGAATATTCTATGATAATTACTGTTTTTAGTGTTTTCATACAACTGTATAATGTACAATGTACATAATAAAATCTAAATGTTGACTTCGGTGAAAATTATAGTTTACCTATATCAGGGGTCACCAACTAATTTCTACAGGGGTCCGTTTTGAAACTTACCTAACTTGCCAAAACTGTCCAAAACACATTTAAATACCAAATGACTTTTTTCACACATTAACAAATAATGAAAATCCTACTAAATTGTAACAAAACGTACCTTGGAAATTCTTAGATGATCAAATAATTAGGAGAAGAAAAGTCACTTGCGCATTAAACTGCACTTTTATAAGATACTTGATGTATAGTTGATGACAGAAGTATATTATTCACCAGAATATACATAATACGTGACATTGAGCTGGTTGCAGTAAACTCAATCAATAATCAACGCATTCGCATGTATTCCAGTCTTCGATAAGTTTAAAATAAAATCGAATTACATAAAAAAGTAAAGTGATGTGTGTTTAATGAATAATTTTAAATTAGTCTAAATCATTTGTATTTTTTTTTTTTTAATATTGGTGGTATAGAGGTATATTTATTGTCGATCGACTGTTCTGTGAGTCAAACGTCCAGACCCGATAATTTCCTATTTATTTAATTATTTATAATGATTTTAATAATTACTTATATTTTAATATTGTTCTTATACATATTGAAGTATTAATATTGTAATAACGAGTGAGTCTTGTGTGGATTTTGGGTAGTTTTAGTTTTAGATAAAAAAAAGAAAAATATTTGATGAATTTTTAATTTATCAATACCTATCATAAGTGTCAAATATTTGTAAGCTTTCATTTTGTAAAAAAATAACATTCTCATAAAATTGGCTTTAACATAATACAATATGACCTTGTACCGGTGACTTGTTATTATTATATTATATGTATACAACTCCTTAGTTTATATTTTAATTTCCATGTCTTAATGAGACATTGTATATATTTTTTTAAATTATTATTAAGATCTTATAATCTAATATTGAAAACAAAAGTAAATTTTTAATCTCGTTTTATGACAAAACAAAAAGTATACAAATATTTCAAATATAATAAATTATAAAAGGTACTAAATTAATTTATCTGTAATATTTATATTTTATAATCAAATCAGTCTCAGTAATTGAAAGAAAATAATTAAAAGACAATTTTTAATGTTATAAACTTATAAACAATTGGAAAATGTAAAACAGTTCCAACACTAATCTCGTCTTAGCCATAGGCGTAAGTAGGGTTTGAAATTTGGAGGGCGGGGGGGGGGGGGGTGAATTTGAGGTCCATACCGGAGTATTAAGGATTTTCTTATATAATAAGACAACAAAACAAAAACAATTTGCAAATGTGTAAAATCTATAATTTTATGGTACAGTTATTGGAGGCTCTTCACACAGTTTCCCGCCTCCTATTGAACCAATGGCCTTAGCCATAAAAATAATTTATAATATACATAGACATATTGAAAAATGCAATAATAATTTAGTATAGGTAACACTAAAAATTACCATTTCAACCGCGAACACAGAAAAATCATTTGAACTTAAAAATGTATGTACCTATAATAATGTTTATACCTATTATATATGTACTATAACACACGTCTAATAAATAATTTATAAATCCCTACTGTTGGTGTATTGAAATCTAATCGATGTTTTTCCCAAGTGAGTTTGAGATTACTAAATTATTAACAGTACCTACATTTTATAAAATAGATGAACACTCTATTGAATTATGGTTGTCGAATAATACTAGTGACCTATAGCCTATGTAAAGTACCGGTGTATATAATGTATAGACTATTTATTTATCTATTCCATTTTTGTTTTTGAATTATAGTCAAATATGACTCAGTTTTTTCGAAAATGTCAAAAGTATTTTTAAATTTATACATTTATACTTATCTTATAATAGTACTCCATCGTCACCGATAAGAGGTTATCCTCAGTGGTGAGATGGGCCATTTAACTATGTTTTATATAATATTATAATCATTGATCACTCAATTTTAATTTTTTTTGCCAATAAATATTATTATTATTTATATAGTTTTAAGATACAAAGAAATCGAGTTCATCATTAATGTAACGCTGTTGAGAGCTTCTTATCGAGTCATGCGGAAGCGGGGGCCAGACGATTTCGATTCTGTCGCATGCGACTTCCTAGGTCGGGCATCGTGTGCGCCGCAGTTACGCCATTGTCGAAACGCTGCACACGTATAATTATAATATAATAAAATAATATACGCGTCATCGTGTACACGTAGGTAAGTCCCACGTGGCTATACTATTATATAAGGAGTCGTAATCCGACATCGTATATAGTCGTGACGAGGTGCGAAAACGACGACAACGGTTTTTGCGCCGAAGAGGAGGGTCGTCTCCGCGGCTTGAACGTTACGCGCGAACGAGCCCGA